CGTGTGTTTGCCTGTCTACCTGATAACGGATTGTCGATCGATCATTTAGCATTAAACCAGTAGTCATTCGACTGGCAGAAAGCAAGGCGATTGCTCGGACCACCATGATGAAGTTTGTTCTTTCGATAGCAAGACCGTTGGTGTGCTCTTTCAGTATATCGCCTTCCGTGCTATTTACTCGCACACACACACACACACACACACACACACACACACACACATACACACACACACACAGAGCAATAGCAATGAGTGCACCTGCATTACAATACACACCGTTGTACGCGTACAAAATCATCTGATGATCCTTGGCAGTAGATAAAAACTGTATACTCTGGTAGTGAACTCAAATCGACAGATCTATAAGTTGTTAAGATCAGTATCTTTGTTTGATATCATCGAGATCTTGTAAAATAAAACTCGATTGTGCATTACCAATCCAACGAAAGCGGTTTTCATTCATTACTAGATATGCCTGTTCCAACTACGAAGTTAAATTCACATCCATGTAATACTCAACTCAAGTGAAGATCTGTTTCCGCAGAACAGGCCAGTAAGTATCACGTCACTTTTCAAAAGCACCGGCAATACCCACGGCTGTTTCGAACTAAGTGATCAAATCGATAGATCCTTAGTCCCGTTAGATATTCATTGGACTGCACGATTCACACATTATTTGAATGAACACAGTTGAAAAGAAATCAAACAGGTGATCCATATTCCAGCACACACGTCATCTGTGACACGTCTACCGCCCGTCCACCCCCAAAATTTACGCGAGTAATATGCATCACCTCAACTTGTTGGTGTTGGTGACTTCTCCGAGCTGGAAGCGTTGTTCGCTGACGATTCGTATCCAAACTAGGCAACATCATCAGTGCGGATTCGGGGAAGCGCCAGTCCTCAGTGAGATCAGGTTTATATAGTTCTGCTTGAGAAAGTAGCGAGTAGAAAGTTCAAGACACGGCTCCACGAACACACTGGCGGTCAAACGACACGAAGAAAAGTCACAAATCTCAATCCACATGGATACTGAGAATCACGTCTTCGAACTGGACAACGCAAGAATAATCGGAAGAGAAACCACCCTGTCAATACGGGAATTCATCGAAGCGTGGCACTCCAGATCAGACAGTATGAATGAACATATAGAACTGAAACCTATCTATCACTATCTAAGAAAACACTGATGACCCGAGGGTGCCCCAGCTAGAACCGGTCCAAAACCAGTTCTAACCAGTTTGGAACCGGTTAAAAACCGGTTTGCGGTTAGTCTAGGAAAGCCAGTCGACCAACGAGAAACAAAGATGGTCACCATGATGACCAAACAGCCAATCAAATCACAGGGCAACGGTTACCACTAACCAACAGGATTAAGGGGACGCAAACAGCCAATCGAAACCCTAAAACAGAACTATATAAGCTTGGCTACGAAAGGTCTACGAACAACACCTCCAGCTCGGAGTACTCACCAACATCGGCATCCCGAGCTACAATCAGTCCACATCATTTTAACCACCTCAACGTGTTTGTTTATTTCAAAACATTGAACATAGATCATGATCACCGGATCACAAGTGATTCGTTTTGCATAGTGCGCCAGAACGTTATTGTATATGTGGGGAAAGAAGATTCTTCTTCCTTCTCTGTCCCAGGATTGGTTCCCCGTAACAGTTGAACTTCCATGAAAGTCATTGTGCCCAGGGTCTGCGTCCCTCCTCCCTAGTATATTGGAAGGGACCTCCAGCGGTGTACGTATATTTTGTAATAATGATAGGACATTCGCCTCATTTAATCGAACTTTTTCAACCCTCCTGTCAAAATTTTCCATTCTCGGGCATCGTAGAAAGAGGTAATTATTCTGAAAACCCCTATTGCTTGATCGATTTCACGTGACACATACCCAGAACTGCTTTACTCATCTCGAATAATACTTATTCGCATTAACTAATGTCCACGCACGTTAATCAACTGACAACCAGCGACACCAATCAGCCACGACCAGTATCGATTTATATATCACATTCACACCTCAGTCCGCCACTAACATAAGGCATGTCACAGATTCAACAATCGATGATGCATGTAATCTACTTACACAATTGCCTGCATTTTCATCACCTTTGCAATTTTCGTTACTTCATCTTTTTTCCATTGCTCACATTATGTGCTCGTCACGTTTTGGGTGCATCGATTCAGTCCTGTAACAAACAGTGCACACCTTCCCTGCTCAAGCCAACGCATCCTACTCCGAACTAAATGCCAAAACATCCCTCGTTTGCATGGTACTATCCAATAACTTTGTCACTATGACCGAATAGATTCATCGGGCACTGCGAAAAAATGCACGCATACACGCACACGTACTCAAACGCTTGACATATTCTCATCGGCTATATTTCACAGAATGCTTTCATCGAACTCATCCAGTGGTATTTATCTCTCTCTCTCTCTCTCTCTCCCGATTTTGTTTTCCGTGCTTCCGGGGGTCTTCTTGAGCCACATGGTGTTCACACAACTTTCGTTCAGAATGCATCGTCCGAGTGAATCTAAGATTATCGAATGCCACACACTGGGCATCGGACATTACCGTAAAGGTCACTCTGATGGTGCCGGAACCGGCTTGTTTCGAGGAATCGAATCGTAATGCAAACTGATTGCATAGTTTGTGATTAATAATGTGGTTTTTATTTTCCCCTCCCCACCCCCGCGTGCACCACGCTGATTTTTTGCAGTCGGAATTCCTCTCTCACCTGCCGGATGCTCCCGTCCCAGAGAAACCGCAACAGGAGATTGGTCAGAAAGCAATTTACAGGTAGGAAACATTAGCCCTACGGGAATGTTTTGTGTCATTCAAAGCGCTATCATTGTTCTGTATGCGCGTATGTCTGCTTACCGTGACGCTGCGCTGTAATCGGAAATCAAAGTTTGAATGTGCCTATATCAGTTCGCTTAGACTGGTAATAGTTGTAGTAGTGCACAGTGTTACTACTCATATGCAACGTGAGTAGTATCGCGAGGTGCTCACATTCAATTCTCTTACTATATTTCTCACTTGTTTGAGGACAAACTGTTTTTCAAGCAAATTATAGTAAAATAATCCTTATACAAAAGGAAAAACCTTCCATGGTTGGCTCATGAGCTGAATATTGCCAAGTTGCCCAGGCCAAGGCAGGTGAATTTTCTTGAAAAATCCACAACCGGAGCCTTCGGCTAGCCAAAGCCTGACTCGCAAGGCAGTGGGGCGCTGTGAAAACCACAGTCCATTGGAAGCCGGTGTCCAATTCATCGGATCATACGCCCTTTGGACGAGGTCAAACGTCCAAGGTACCCAATACATCTCGATACCCAATTGAGCCGGTGACCACTGCCACAACCGGGAAGGTGCGTGTGATTCGTATGCATCCTCTTGATTGGTTTGAATCAAGCTTTTTGGCCAACTTCCCTAGGTGAACCCGGTTATATCCTCGGCTGTTGGCTTTCGTCCTCGCATTTTTGTAGGAAAACATCTCCGCCACGAGAAGGCAGTGAACAGGGTTTTCTCAGCGGATGCTATTTGAGACACTTGATCGTATAGGAGCATTTCTCGAGGTACAATGGAAGGGTGACCAACCCTAGACACCCACGCGCGATCAAAAATGAGTCTTTTGGAGGCTTTTAATAGTTCGCCGCTTATCACGGCAATCTAGAGCAGCAGCAGCAGAAACAGCGAAATAATGGATCTCCTGTATGTGTGTAGCAGCAACGTACATGAAAACACTATTGGACTGTGTGGTTACTAAAACGAAGTCTTTCTGAAGAACGTAACTACTCCATTTCCGCAGACGGGTTTCGGCCACGATTACCCGATTTCACGAGTAGATATCCCATTCTAGTGATGAACCATCTATCTCCCAGTGCAACACCCTAATTGTGGATTTAGAGCGGAGCAGGAGCAGGACTGCCATCTGTTTGGAATGAAATGAAGATCATGGCTTGGTTCGTTGACATCACTGTTAATGTGCAATGTGCTTTCGTGTGAGTGTGCGAGCCTCCGACCAGAATAGTTGAACCNCCCACCCGCCCTACACAGATTGTCTGACGAATCAGGCAAACTCGAATTGACACTGGTTTGTAACGAAATTCTGGACAAGAAGGCGCTCACCGAAGACGATCCGTATATTATCGATACCGGCTCGGCTCTATTTGTCTATCTGGGTGATAAATGTTCCCGCAAAGAGAAGCACAATGCTTTGCCATGGGCTCATGTAAGTCCGCTTTCTTTGTCTTGATACGGTTTACTGCTTGACTGAAGAGGGTGGAAGTGTGAAACATGAGTATTGAGAAATTACAATCACATAACATACAACCGTAATTAATTAGTCGATTACTGGTGATCACGGTTGTTATGCCCCTGTCGAAGTGGGTAGAAAAGCACACAGTGAAGTAGAGATTGCGTTTAGTGTAGAGGGTACACTTGTAGGCGGTCCATAGACTGGCGAACAAGCAGAAGCTGGAAGCACGTAGGAAGGCGAGTAGGCAAANGCGAAATCCGTATGCGGTCACGCAGGAATTCAAACAGTCAATGAATCAATCAGCGAGGACAGTTCAATACTAATATCTGATTGGCCGATTTATATTGTAGCAGAGTCAGTCCGCATGCAGTGAGTGCGTGCATGAGTGTGTGTTAGCTGATAGCATCTGTCACTCAATCGATTCATCAACCAATTCGGTCACAGGCTGGCGCGACGAATGTATCAGTCACTTGGAGGCAATAGCATGACCTCATATCCCACAAATAGCAAGGTGATAGGTATTTTATGGAAGATAAAGAACAACAAACGGAATGTGATTGTAAATGTTCGTAAAGGCATGTACGAAACACATTTCAGACAACTATAGGTTACAACAACGGTCAAACAAAATCTCAAAAAGCTTGGAGATCTTCATTTGGTGGTACGAATAACGGTTCTTTGATGTTTTTTCAATTTATTTATTTTTCATCTCAGAGTGAATTTTATGCGATTGCTATTTTCTTTAGTTAATCGATCTTGTTTAATCAAATGAAACAAACCGGTTGACACCAATCTGGAAGGAGAATGCAATGCAGAACTTCATTTGGACTCCATTTCTAGCAATTCTGCACAGTCCAATTTTATTTTACCTTCTTTCTTTCTTCTCTTAAGGATTACCTGAAGAAAACCACTCACCCGTTGATCCCGATCACCGTGGTTTCCGGTGGACGTAAATCGAAAGAAATGGATAAAATCTGGGGCTAATTCATCTTGGGAGAAGAGGTATACCGGTCATACGGTGACACATAGAACCCCAGACTTTACGAGATACATCCATCTATCACAATCGACGTAAGGCTAAAACAAATCTGGTCTCGCCCAATATTTTCTTTCCTGTTCTTGATCTATGTCTTTATGCATGCTTTATAATTCCTAAGTGCTTTGATGTGCAATAAATATCGTTGAATACAACCAGAATACTTTTTTCCCCGTTGTTGTGTTGTGTGTTCATGGTATAGTGGATAGGGTATAGTGCTCTCTTGAGGTAACCGTTTGGTTTCTGTATTGGATAACCTCGACCCGAGATCTGTCCACGAATCCACCGGTAAAACCGTGTTTCTTGGAAAACATACCATAACGGGTGTTCGGATGCGAAATGCGGATTTTAGGGGCACTTCCTTCCTTCTATCGGCGTGTACTTTTCTGCCAAACAAAACATACCGATCAGTGGGAAAATTTATAATAGTTAAGTGCATACACTTCGTGGTGTTTAGACCAATCCGAATGTTGAACCTGAGTGAGTGAAGCGCTGAGGTTTGAGCTCACCAAGGGTTTGTTTAACGGTTTATAAACCCACAGCTCGGAGATTTTTGATCCCAATTCCCATAGGGAGGCTGGATGTAGGTGTAGCTTGTAAGATCTCATATTTCTCATGTTCAACGATAGACAGCATGGCGGTGAACAAGATTATCCTCGAAACGGCGGAAGGAAATGAGCAAAAGCTGGGAGCCACAGTGAATCCCGGTTTGAAAGAAGCACAGCTCTGATGATAGAGAAGACAATAGCATACTTGAAATTGTAAGAAAGCGCCACAGTAGCGAAAAGCTCGTTTGCGATGATTCATCCATGGGCTTATACATCTCTACTTATATCGCAATAGTTAGTTGTAGTATTTGGAATAGTATTCAAAATGGGATTCCAGAATTCGCGCAATACCAATCCCCGAAATAGAACAACTTCGAATAGAATAGCACACGAACTTTATTCGCATCGTATACTATACTATGCATATTCAATGCATTTAAAGTGTACAAGGAATTTCGAGGTCAGTGTCACATCACACTCGCCGCACCTTGAATTGACCACAGGATTTCTGTAATTCAGTCTAGGCTTTGCACTCAGTCGCTCAGAGCTTCGTAGGACTTGTTCATTCACACGTAATTCTTCCGTAGCGGCTTGTTGTTCAACATTCTGTTCATCAGTCGTATCAGGTCGCTCAATATCTAAAGAAACATTATTAGGCTCGGAATTTTCATCATGAATTGGAACTGACTGACTTGGATTGTCAAAGCGAATTTGGTCCACATGTCTTTTGTGTATAGATAAATCATCCTTGTCAAGTAGCTGGAGCATTATTCGACCTAAAGACTTTAGGACAATTCCTGAGGAGGGTCTTAGATCATTGCCACGGAAAAATACAACTTCAGAAGAATTAATACACAATAAATTGGATCTCAGATTTCGACCTTTTGAAAGTTTAGCAGGTGTCTCTTTAGTGGATGAATGAACAGAATTACGATATTGTAAAAGAAACAAATCAACGCCTATTTCAAGTTCAGAAAATGTGGATGGATTCAAAGCATTTTTAAGTGTTCTAAC